CTACAATCCCTGAAAATTTCAGTTCATTTGCACTTATAGTTCCTGAGATAAAATTGTGTTAAGCAATTTGGGGTGATTTATCAATTTTTCAAGTTTTCTGAGTGCCTTTTTTCATAGATATCGGCTTCAAATCTGAGAATAATTTAGTGTATGGAGTTTGGGGTATGTTGATTAACTATTAGGACACAAAATCTCGACAAAAAAAATTTTGAAATTTCATCGTTTTAGTAGGAAGGTAGGTACCTTATGATTTAGATTTTGGAAAACTTTGACAGGTGATAACTTTTTTTCTATTATAGATAGAAAGCTGAAATTTTCAGCGATTCTTATTCCAGTAGAGGACTACAATCCCTGAAAATTTCAGTTCATTTGCACTTATAGTTCCTGAGATAAAATTGTGTTAAGCAATTTGGGGTGATTTATCAATTTTTCAAGTTTTCTGAGTGCCTTTTTTCATAGATATCGGCTTCAAATCTGAGAATAATTTAGTGTATGGAGTTTGGGGTATGTTGATTAACTATTAGGACACAAAATCTCGACAAAAAAAATTTTGAAATTTCATCGTTTTAGTAAGAAGGTAGGTACCTTATGATTTAGATTTTGGAAAACTTTGACAGGTCATAACTTTTTTTCTATTATAGATAGAAAGCTGAAATTTTGAGCGATTCCTATTCCAGTAGAGGACTACAATCCCTGAAAATTTCAGTTCATTTGCACTTATAGTTCCTGAGATAAAATTGTGTTAAGCAATTTGGGGTGATTTATCAATTTTTCAAGTTTTCTGAGTGCCTTTTTTCATAGATATCGGCTTCAAATCTGAGAATAATTTAGTGTATGGAGTTTGGGGTATGTTGATTAACTATTAGGACACAAAATCTCGACAAAAAAAATTTTGAAATTTCATCGTTTTAGTAGGAAGGTAGGTACCTTATGATTTAGATTTTGGAAAACTTTGACAGGTGATAACTTTTTTTCTATTATAGATAGAAAGCTGAAATTTTCAGCGATTCCTATTCCAGTAGAGGACTACAATCCCTGAAAATTTCAGTTCATTTGCACTTATAGTTCCTGAGATAAAATTGTGTTAAGCAATTTGGGGTGATTTATCAATTTTTCAAGTTTTCTGAGTGCCTTTTTTCATAGATATCGGCTTCAAATCTGAGAATAATTTAGTGTATGGAGTTTGGGGTATGTTGATTAACTATTAGGACACAAAATCTCGACAAAAAAAATTTTGAAATTTCATCGTTTTAGTAGGAAGGTAGGTACCTTATGATTTAGATTTTGGAAAACTTTGACAGGTGATAACTTTTTTTCTATTATAGATAGAAAGCTGAAATTTTCAGCGATTCTTATTCCAGTAGAGGACTACAATCCCTGAAAATTTCAGTTCATTTGCACTTATAGTTCCTGAGATAAAATTGTGTTAAGCAATTTGGAGTGATTTATCAATTTTTCAAGTTTTCTGAGTGCCTTTTTTCATAGATATCGGCTTCAAATCTGAGAATAATTTAGTGTATGGAGTTTGGGGTATGTTGATTAACTATTAGGACACAAAATCTCGACAAAAAAAATTTTGAAATTTCATCGTTTTAGTAGGAAGGTAGGTACCTTATGATTTAGATTTTGGAAAACTTTGACAGGTCATAACTTTTTTTCTATTATAGATAGAAAGCTGAAATTTTCAGCGATTCTTATTCCAGTAGAGGACTACAATCCCTGAAAATTTCAGCTCATTTGCACTTATAGTTCCTGAGATAAAATTGTGTTAAGCAATTTGGAGTGATTTATCAATTTTTCTGAGTGCCTTTTTTCATAGATATCGGCTTCAAATCTGAGAATAATTTAGTGTATGGAGTTTGGGGTATGTTGATTAACTATTAGGACACAAAATCTCGACAAAAAAAATTTTGAAATTTCATCGTTTTAGTAGGAAGGTAGGTACCTTATGATTTAGATTTTGGAAAACTTTGACAGGTCATAACTTTTTTTCTATTATAGATAGAAAGCTGAAATTTTCAGCGATTCCTATTCCAGTAGAGGACTACAATCCCTGAAAATTTCAGCTCATTTGCACTTATAGTTCCTGAGATAAAATTGTGTTAAGCAATTTGGGGTGATTTATCAATTTTTCAAGTTTTCTGAGTGCCTTTTTTCATAGATATCGGCTTCAAATCTGAGAATAATTTAGTGTATGGAGTTTGGGGTATGTTGATTAACTATTAGGACACAAAATCTCGACAAAAAAAATTTTGAAATTTCATCGTTTTAGTAGGAAGGTAGGTACCTTATGATTTAGATTTTGGAAAACTTTGACAGGTGATAACTTTTTTTCTATTATAGATAGAAAGCTGAAATTTTCAGCGATTCTTATTCCAGTAGAGGACTACAATCCCTGAAAATTTCAGTTCATTTGCACTTATAGTTCCTGAGATAAAATTGTGTTAAGCAATTTGGGGTGATTTATCAATTTTTCAAGTTTTCTGAGTGCCTTTTTTCATAGATATCGGCTTCAAATCTGAGAATAATTTAGTGTATGGAGTTTGGGGTATGTTGATTAACTATTAGGACACAAAATCTCGACAAAAAAAATTTTGAAATTTCATCGTTTTAGTAAGAAGGTAGGTACCTTATGATTTAGATTTTGGAAAACTTTGACAGGTCATAACTTTTTTTCTATTATAGATAGAAAGCTGAAATTTTGAGCGATTCCTATTCCAGTAGAGGACTACAATCCCTGAAAATTTCAGTTCATTTGCACTTATAGTTCCTGAGATAAAATTGTGTTAAGCAATTTGGGGTGATTTATCAATTTTTCAAGTTTTCTGAGTGCCTTTTTTCATAGATATCGGCTTCAAATCTGAGAATAATTTAGTGTATGGAGTTTGGGGTATGTTGATTAACTATTAGGACACAAAATCTCGACAAAAAAAATTTTGAAATTTCATCGTTTTAGTAGGAAGGTAGGTACCTTATGATTTAGATTTTGGAAAACTTTGACAGGTGATAACTTTTTTTCTATTATAGATAGAAAGCTGAAATTTTCAGCGATTCCTATTCCAGTAGAGGACTACAATCCCTGAAAATTTCAGTTCATTTGCACTTATAGTTCCTGAGATAAAATTGTGTTAAGCAATTTGGGGTGATTTATCAATTTTTCAAGTTTTCTGAGTGCCTTTTTTCATAGATATCGGCTTCAAATCTGAGAATAATTTAGTGTATGGAGTTTGGGGTATGTTGATTAACTATTAGGACACAAAATCTCGACAAAAAAAATTTTGAAATTTCATCGTTTTAGTAGGAAGGTAGGTACCTTATGATTTAGATTTTGGAAAACTTTGACAGGTGATAACTTTTTTTCTATTATAGATAGAAAGCTGAAATTTTCAGCGATTCTTATTCCAGTAGAGGACTACAATCCCTGAAAATTTCAGTTCATTTGCACTTATAGTTCCTGAGATAAAATTGTGTTAAGCAATTTGGAGTGATTTATCAATTTTTCTGAGTGCCTTTTTTCATAGATATCGGCTTCAAATCTGAGAATAATTTAGTGTATGGAGTTTGGGGTATGTTGATTAACTATTAGGACACAAAATCTCGACAAAAAAAATTTTGAAATTTCATCGTTTTAGTAGGAAGGTAGGTACCTTATGATTTAGATTTTGGAAAACTTTGACAGGTCATAACTTTTTTTCTATTATAGATAGAAAGCTGAAATTTTCAGCGATTCCTATTCCAGTAGAGGATTACAATCCCTGAAAATTTCAGTTCATTTGCACTTATAGTTCCTGAGATAAAATTGTGTTAAGCAATTTGCGGTGATTTATCAATTTTTCAAGTTTTCTGAGTGCCTTTTTTCATAGATATCGGCTTCAAATCTGAGAATAATTTAGTGTATGGAGTTTGGGGTATGTTGATTAACTATTAGGACACAAAATCTCGACAAAAAAAATTTTGAAATTTCATCGTTTCAGTAAGAAGGTATTATTACAATGTAAGGATTTTTTTTTCGTAAATTCTGACTTCACCATTGAAAAAAGCAGCCCAAAATTAGTCGAAAACAACACTCAAATCATCATAATGAATCTATTTTCTCTTGAGCAAAAAAAGCTTATTTTTAGTCCAGAAATTTTTTTCAAGTTCTGACATACTAGTGAATAATCACTTATAACTCCATTAATTCTAAATTAAATCAAACTAAACAATATACAGTTGGAAAGAGGATTAAATTCTCTATAAAATGGCACAAGATTGAATTGAATACCTTCAGTTGTTTTGGAGATATAGGGCTTAGTCAACTTTTGGCATAAAACTTAAAGGCGGTGTAGCTGCGAAACTAAGCATTGTAACTAAATTATCGTATGAGACTTTTTTGTAGCATTTGACGTGGGCTACAATCTGGTAAAAGAATCAACTCGATATCTCTCACAGTTACCGAGATATTAAGGTTTGAAAATTTGTAAACCCAAATCTTAAGGCTGGAAAAAAATGACTTATTTTTTTTTTTTGGGAAATTTGAGTTTTTATAGATAAAATTGATCGATTGGGCCATAATTAAATGCGTTAATGATAAAAATAAATTTGAAAACACATTACTTGCCCATTTGAGTCCCATGTAATGCAAAAAATAGGCATTATTAAGTTGACTTGAAAAGTAAAACATTATTACATACTTATTATAAACTATAAACCATCCCCCTGAATTTGTGCAAACAATTCCTCACACTTCCCGCAATAATTTCTCCAAAATCCCCAAAAATTCCTCCAAACTGCTAATAAATTCCCTGCGAATGCCTGTTACAAATTCCCTAGAAATCTCCAAAATTATTCATGATAAGAAATGTATTTTTCTATTTTTAGTACGCTCAGTGTTAACCCAATAAATTCCCCGAATTTTTACAATAGTTATTTTATATTTTGTTCATCACATAGTCAAGAAGATACATGATTTTTATAAATTTTCATATGAAATAATAATCAAAAATTTGTATTATTTTCAGGTAAACGTCGTTGTTTGGGCGAAGCCCTAGGCAAAACTGACATGTTTCTGTTTTTCACCTCAATCATGCACAACTTTATATTGGAACCTATAAAAGAATGCCCCCCTGACGTTTACCCATATGACGGAGTCACCCTGGCACCCAAACCCTTCAAAGTCAAGTTAATAAAACGAATTTAACAATAATTATAATATTATAGTAATAAACAATTAATTGAAACTTGTTTGTTGATGTGTGTCTTGTAACAAAAAGTATAAAAAACATATTTTTAATCTAAAAAAAAAAGGTATGAGTAAACATTTTTATTTATTTATGTATTTGTTTTTGTAAAATTCCCAATTTATTGTAATGTATAATGGCAAAATACCATGTGTTCCACTAAGGTCAAGTTTCTATAATATCGTATTGTAGTGGGACACCCAGTAACTACTGACAATGGAAATAGAAAAACTATACAACAAAGTTGAAGGTCTTTTTATTTTGAATTTTGAAACTTTTTGACCAAAGTACTATAATACATTTTTTGGAATATCAATAAATATAATTAATTATTAGATAGTTGAACCATTAACAGTATAATCTACGATGCCAAATTTCGAATTAAGTAAATGACAAACTATTAAGAATAAATGGTCAATTAAAACTAACCATTTTGGCAACGTCGAAGAAATTATTCAATTTAAAAACCCATTAAGTAATCACATTTTTATAGACCGAGTCCCATAATAGATTAACTCAACATCATGTTAACAGAAATCCTATTGATAATCCTTAGTGCAATTTTATCGTGCTGGTTTTATTTAAACGAGTGCAAAAGACCTAAAAAATATCCTCCAGGTGAGTTTTTTTATTTATTTAAAACTAATTTATTAGATAATTCTTTTAAGGTCCATCATGGATCCCGTTTATAGGCAATGGGCCAGAATTGCGACAATTGGCCAAACAATGTGGCGGGCAACATTTGGCCTTTTCGGCTTTGGCCAGCAAATTCGATACTGAAGTTGTCGGTTTGAAGTTGGGCAAAGAAAATGTTATTTGTGTGTGTTCTTATGATACCGTAAAGCAAGTACTGACTTCGCAACAGTACCAGGGGAGACCCGATAATTTTTTTATGAGGCTGCGGTCTTTTGGATTGAGAAAAGGTTAGTAATAATATTTGAGCTATCAAACTTGTTTATTATTTCTGGAACTTTAAGTCCGAATGAGCTGAAACTTTCAGGAATTGTAGTCCTTTACTAGAATAAGAATCGCTGAAAATTTCAGCTTATTATCTATAATAGAGAAAAAGTTATGACCCTCCAAAATCTAAATCATAAGGTAGGTCTTCTTAGTAAAACGATGAAATTTCAAATTTTTTTCAATGAGATTTTGTATCCTAATGGTCAATTAACATCCCCCAAACTCCATACACTAAATTATTCTCAGATTTGAAGCCGAAATCTATGGAAAAAGGCACTCAGAAAAATTGAAAAATTCATAAATCACCCCAAATTGCTTAACACAATTTTATCCGAGGGGTATTTCACTGAAGTTTTTTTGTACATATATTGTGCAATACTCAGGTATTGCAGAGTATGGTGAGAGTATTGTGGACTATTGCAACCTATTGCCCAATGATTCTAGATATTGCAAACCATTGTGATTATTATGAACTATTGCAAGTTACCTTCTATTGTTAATATTTGTTACCTAAGCCTAAGCATAGTAATCTTTAATATTGAAGACTACCCTGTTCATATAATTTTTAAGAGAGTTAGGCTCCTCTGGTTATTTGTCTGTCAACACAACGTCATTATCAGTTTCCTCCTGAATAGCCTCAGATGAGTCAGTCGAATTTGGCGTCAAGTTCAGAGGTTATTATTTTTTATGGGATAGTATGTCCATCAAAACAGTTAACTGTATAATCTTGGATATTGTCTATTCCTAACAAGGGGTACAACACTCCCCCAGAATTTGTGTAAACAATTCCTCAAAGGGGAATTTTCGAGGGAATTTTTTACGCAAAATTCCACAAAATTCCTACAAATTCCTTTAGATACCCCATCACAAACTCCTCCAAATACCCCACAAATTCTTCTAAATTCCCCGCAAATTCCTCTAAATTCCCCATTAATTTCGCCAAATTCCCTATAAATTCCCCACATTATTGGCAAAGACTTCCTAGGTGGTTTGCCTCTTGAAAAATACAGTCGCACACAATTCAAAATTTTCCTGGAAAACTGATTGAGGGAAAAATGGAAACTTTTTGCACGTAAAGAGGAAGGTTAGAAGCTCATTTTCTCAAAATTTTAAATTTTTTCAGTGGAAAATAACCACATGAAAAATCTTGGAGTCCAACTTACAAAAACTGATTTAATTGAAAATACAGTCTCACACGTCATGTCACAGTTTTTCTGGAAAACTAGTGAAGAGAGAAATTTGAAACTTTTTGCACGTAAAGAGGTAGGTTAGAAACTCATTTTCCCAAAAGTTCAAATTTTTTCAGCAGGAAATAACAATATGAAGAATCTCGGAAAACAACTTACAAAAACTGAATTAATTGAAAATACCTACAGTCTCACACATTTCAAAATTTTCCTGGAAAACTAATTCAGGGAAAATTTTTAAACTTTTTGCATGTAAAGAGGAAAGCTAGAGCCTCATTTTCCCAAAATTTCAAATTATTCCAGTGAAAATTAGCAATATGAAGAATCTTGGAAATCAACCTACAAAAACTGAATTAATTGAAAATACAATCTCACACATTTCAAAGTTTTCCTGAAATACTAGTGAAGGGAAAAATTTGAAACTTTTTGCATGTAAAGATGTAGGGTAGAAACTCATTTTCCCAAAATTTCAAATTTTTCCAGCAGGAAATAACAATATGAAGAATCTCGGAAAACAACTTACAAAAACTGAATTAATTGAAAATACCTACAGTCTCACACATTTCAAAATTTTCCTGGAAAACTAATTCAGGGAAAATTTTCAAACTTTTTGCATGTAAAGAGGAAAGCTAGAGCCTCATTTTCCCAAAATTTCAAATTATTCCAGTGAAAATTAGCAATATGAAGAATTTTGGAAATCAACCTACAAAAACTGAATTAATTGAAAATACAATCTCACACATTTCAAAGTTTTCCCGAAATACTAGTGAAGGGAAAAATTTGAAACTTTTTGCATGTAAAGATGTAGGTTAGAAGCTCATTTTCCCAAAATATCAAATTTTTCCAGCAGGAAATAACAATATGAAGAATCTCGGAAAACAACTTACAAAAACTGAATTAATTGAAAATACCTACAGTCTCACACATTTCAAAATTTTCCTGGAAAACTAATTCAGGGAAAATTTTTAAACTTTTTGCATGTAAAGAGGAAAGCTAGAGCCTCATTTTCCCAAAATTTCAAATTATTCCAGTGAAAATTAGCAATATGAAGAATTTTGGAAATCAACCTACAAAAACTGAATTAATTGAAAATACCTACAGTCTCACACATTTCAAAATTTTCCTGGAAAACTAATTCAGGGAAAATTTTCAAACTTTTTGCATGTAAAGAGGAAAGCTAGAGCCTCATTTTCCCAAAATTTCAAATTATTCCAGTGAAAATTAGCAATATGAAGAATTTTGGAAATCAACCTACAAAAACTGAATTAATTGAAAATACAATCTCACACATTTCAAAGTTTTCCCGAAATACTAGTGAAGGGAAAAATTTGAAACTTTTTGCATGTAAAGATGTAGGTTAGAAGCTCATTTTCCCAAAATGTCAAATTTTTCCAGCAGGAAATAACAATATGAAGAATCTCGGAAAACAACTTACAAAAACTGAATTAATTGAAAATACCTACAGTCTCACACATTTCAAAATTTTCCTGGAAAACTAATTCAGGGAAAATTTTCAAACTTTTTGCATGTAAAGAGGAAAGCTAGAGCCTCATTTTCCCAAAATTTCAAATTATTCCAGTGAAAATTAGCAATATGAAGAATTTTGGAAATCAACCTACAAAAACTGAATTAATTGAAAATACAATCTCACACATTTCAAAGTTTTCCCGAAATACTAGTGAAGGGAAAAATTTGAAACTTTTTGCATGTAAAGATGTAGGTTAGAAGCTCATTTTCCCAAAATATCAAATTTTTCCAGCAGGAAATAACAATATGAAGAATCTCGGAAAACAACTTACAAAAACTGAATTAATTGAAAATACCTACAGTCTCACACATTTCAAAATTTTCCTGGAAAACTAATTCAGGGAAAATTTTCAAACTTTTTGCATGTAAAGAGGAAAGCTAGAGCCTCATTTTCCCAAAATTTCAAATTATTCCAGTGAAAATTAGCAATATGAAGAATTTTGGAAATCAACCTACAAAAACTGAATTAATTGAAAATACCTACAGTCTCACACATTTCAAAATTTTCCTGGAAAACTAATTCAGGGAAAATTTTCAAACTTTTTGCATGTAAAGAGGAAAGCTAGAGCCTCATTTTCCCAAAATTTCAAATTATTCCAGTGAAAATTAGCAATATGAAGAATTTTGGAAATCAACCTACAAAAACTGAATTAATTGAAAATACAATCTCACACATTTCAAAGTTTTCCCGAAGTACTAGTGAAGGGAAAAATTTGAAACTTTTTGCATGTAAAGATGTAGGTTAGAAGCTCATTTTCCCAAAATATCAAATTTTTCCAGCAGGAAATAACAATATGAAGAATCTCGGAAAACAACTTACAAAAACTGAATTAATTGAAAATACCTACAGTCTCACACATTTCAAAATTTTCCTGGAAAACTAATTCAGGGAAAATTTTCAAACTTTTTGCATGTAAAGAGGAAAGCTAGAGCCTCATTTTCCCAAAATTTCAAATTATTCCAGTGAAAATTAGCAATATGAAGAATTTTGGAAATCAACCTACAAAAACTGAATTAATTGAAAATACAATCTCACACATTTCAAATTTTTCCCGAAGTACTAGTGAAGGGAAAAATTTGAAACTTTTTGCATGTAAAGATGTAGGTTAGAAGCTCATTTTCCCAAAATATCAAATTTTTCCAGCAGGAAATAACAATATGAAGAATCTCGGAAAACAAAACTTACAAAAACTGAATTAATTGAAAATACCTACAGTCTCACACATTTCAAAATTTTCCTGGAAAACTAATTCAGGGAAAATTTTCAAACTTTTTGCATGTAAAGAGGAAAGCTAGAGCCTCATTTTCCCAAAATTTCAAATTATTCCAGTGAAAATTAGCAATATGAAGAATTTTGGAAATCAACCTACAAAAACTGAATTAATTGAAAATACAATCTCACACATTTCAAAGTTTTCCCGAAATACTAGTGAAGGGAAAAATTTGAAACTTTTTGCATGTAAAGATGTAGGTTAGAAGCTCATTTTCCCAAAATATCAAATTTTTCCAGCAGGAAATAACAATATGAAGAATCTCGGAAAACAACTTACAAAAACTGAATTAATTGAAAATACCTACAGTCTCACACATTTCAAAATTTTCCTGGAAAACTAATTCAGGGAAAATTTTTAAACTTTTTGCATGTAAAGAGGAAAGCTAGAGCCTCATTTTCCCAAAATTTCAAATTATTCCAGTGAAAATTAGCAATATGAAGAATCTTGGAAATCAACCTACAAAAACTGAATTAATTGAAAATACAATCTCACACATTTCAAAGTTTTCCCGAAATACTAGTGAAGGGAAAAATTTGAAACTTTTTGCATGTAAAGATGTAGGTTAGAAGCTCATTTTCCCAAAATTTCAAATTTTTCCATTGGAAAATAGCAACATGAAAAATCATGGAAATCAACTTACAAAAACTGACATAATTGTTAATACAGTCTCACACAATTCAAAGTTTTCCTGGAAAACTAGTGAACAGAAAAATTTGAAACTTTTTGCATGTGAAGAGGAAGGTAACAGGCTCATTTTCCCATAATTTCAAATTTTTCCATTGGAAAATAATAACATGAAAAATCATAGAAATCAACTTACAAAAACTGAACTAATGGAGTCAGCACATTTCAAAGTTTTTCTATAAAACTAATCCAGGGAAAATTTGGAAACTCTTTGCATGTAAAGAGGAAGATTAGAGATTCATTTTCTCAAAATTTAAATTTTTTCCAGTGGAAAATAACAACATAAAGAATCTTGGAAATAAACTTACAATAACTGAATTAATTGAAAATACCTCGGAAAATACAGTCTCGCATATTTCAAAGTTTTCCTGGAAAACTAGTGGAGGCAAAAATTTGAAACTTTTTGCATGTAAAGGATGTGAAAAGAAAGATTAAAGGCTCATTTTCCCCAAATTTCAAATTTTTCCAATATGGAAAATAACAACATGAAGAATCTTGGAAATCAACCTTCAGTAACTAAATAAATTGGAAATATAGTCTAATACATTTCAAAGTTTTCCTGGAAAACTAGTGAACCGAAAAATTTGAAACTTTTGCATGTGAAGAAGAAGGTTAGAGGCTCATTTTTCATAATTTCAAACTTTTCCAAAAAAAAATAACAACATGAAGAATCTTGGAAATCAACCTTCAATAACTGAATTAATTGAAAATACAGTTTCACACATTTCAAAGTTTTTTTTGGAAAACTAGTGAAGGGAAATTTTGAAACTTTTCGCATGTAAAGAGACAGGTGAGAAGCTCATTTTCCCAAAATTTCAAATTTTTCCAGTGGAAAGTAACAACATGAAAAATCTTGGAAATCAGCCTACAAAAACTGTACTCATTATTCTTTTAAATTTGGACCTGTAAATAATGAAGTGAAATTTTGGGAGTATTTCTTTAATGAAAATATAATAATAAGAATGTGAACCTCACTGACGTCATGACCCTACAATTTCCATCAAATTCCTCATAAATTCATTCATATTTTCCATAAATTTCTCTAAATTTCCTCTAAATTCTCCAAACTCTCATAAATTCCGATGAGTTCCTTCAAATTCCTCTAAATTCTCCACATTTTTGGAAAATAATTTCTAGGTGGTTTGCTCCTTAATTCCTAACATCTGAAGAACAGCGACTCAAATATGAGACCAAAAAGAGGGACCGTAGTAAGGAGCGATAGAGAGGAAAACACAATCCCGCCCTTATATTTTACAGTTGTTCTATTTTCCTACACTTGTAAGTTAAGTAAGGAGTGATAAGAAAGGAAAAGACAATCACGCCCTTATATACTACTCAAAACGAAATAAGGACCACTTTTAAGAGCAGGTTTTCATTAAATTTTGAATAACCCTGGTAAAGTGAGTATTTTCATTTACAATAAGTATAGATAAACAAATAAAGTGTGCACAAAAAATTTATATTGTGAATGGAAATAAACACTTTACCAGGGTTATTCAAAATTCATTAAAAATAAATGGGTTTTCAAAAGTGGTCCTTATTTCGTTTTGACTAGTTTATTTTACAGTTGTTCTATTTTCCTACACTCGTAAGTTAAAGTTATGATAAAGTGCAACAAAAATTAAAATCCGTATTCAAATTTATACCCAACGAGTGATAGACGTTGATGTAGTCTCAATGCAAAAAATAAATATATACCATGCTACTTCAAAAATATTCCAAATAACTTATTAAATATAAAAAAACCATACACTAAAACACAACAATCTTAGAGATAATAATCAGGCCTATGATGTATCCTCTCCTGTTATTTTAACAGCTGTGTTATAGCTCAACAGCATACCTGTCTCTATTTTGATGTATAGAATAAACAGTGACAGATAACTTAACGTTGCTGTTAAAATAACAGAAAATGATACATCATAGGTCTGAATCTCAAAAATTTTCATCGACAAGAGTAAAAATTAAAGTGAAGAACTACCCTTCAAACCTATTGCAAGCTATTGCGATAGTATTTCAGATTTTTGTAATGATATTGCCAACTATTGCGAGCATATTGTAGACTATTGTGAGAGTATTGCAGACAATTGCAAGAGTATTGTGGAATATTGTGAATTATTGTAGACTACTGCAAAGTATTGTGCACTATTGCAAGGTATTGCAAGGCATTGTGAGCTATTGAGAAATTACTGCCGCAATACTATACTGAAATTTGTATATACACACATCAAAATAGTCTAGGGAACAAGATGCAACTGAATACATTTATAAATTGAACAAAATCTACTTTAAAAAGATTTTTAAATTTTGTTAAAGCCTGCTGGAAAAGCCGATATGATAAATTTTACAAGATTTGTTCAACAAATACCCATATGGTATCTTTTTAAAAAAATTTATTCTGTCTAAAAATTAAAAGACGAATATTTCTTGTTCCCTAGACTGTTTTGATGAGTGTATATTGTGGCCAATGAAATACCCCTCGATTTTATCTCAGAAACTATAAGTGCAAATGAGCTGAAATTTTCAGGAATTGTAGTCCCTTTATTGAGATATGATTCAGTGAAAATTTCAGCTTTCTATTTATAATAGAAAAAAAGTTACGACTTTTCAAAGTTTTCCAAAACTTAAATCATAAGGTACGAACTACCTCCGAAATACTTTCAAGAAATATTACATTAAATACATCAAAATACCAAGATTGAATCGAAATTTTCAGGAATTGTAACTCCTATTAGGCTCTAAATTTCCAGGTTTATATATTCTTTGAGAAAATTGAGTTTGAAGTTTTTGACTGAATATCAAAAAATAATTGAAATTTATACTTAGTTGTTTTGAATTTAGGTATTACAGGTGTCGATGGTGAACTATGGAAAGAGCAAAGAGCTTTTTTAGTCTCCCACCTTAGAGCATTGGGTTTTGGCAGAAGCGCAATGGAAGAAATGATCAAAGAAGAAATAAAAGACATTCTGAATCTTATTGAAAACAGCAAAGAGGGTATTGACTTGTCAGCCACAGTATCGCCTTCTGTTGTAAATATTTTATGGAAATTAACCAGCGGCAAAAGCATCAAAAACAATAATGACATCACAAAACTGCTGGATTTATTGAAACAAAGATCTAAAGCTTTTGACATGTCAGGTGGCTTTCTGAACCATTATCCTTGGCTCAGACATTTGGCTCCTCAAAAAACCGGATACAGCCTTTTGCAAACTATTAATAATCAAATTAGACAATTCATAATGGAAGCTGTTAATGAACACAAAAGCCAATGGACTGAAGGCAGATCTGACGATTTTATTTATAGTTTTTTAGGAGAAATGAAAAAGCAAAATTATTATGATAATAGTAATTTTACAGGTAAGAGATTTTGAATAATATAATATTTGCGCAATTAAATTAAATATTCTAGATGACCAATTAATAATAGTATGCCTGGACATCTTGATAGCAGGCTCCACTACAACCAATCACACAATAGACTTTGCATTCCTGGCAATGATCCTGTATCCAGAAATCCAGGCAAAAGTACATAAATGCTTAGACACTGAATTCAAAAAAGATGAAGATATCAATTACAATGACAAACAAAGAGTTCCTTATATTGAAGCTGTATTATTGGAGTGTCAAAGGATGTTTGCAGTTGTGCCTATGGTAGGGCCAAGGAGGGTTTTAAGTGAGACAAGTTTGAGCGAATTTATTATACCTAAAGATACTACAGTGTTGATTAATTTACATTCCGTCCACCATGATAAGGATTATTGGAAGGATCCAGAAATTTTTAAGCCGGAAAGATTTTTAGATGCTGATACACAATTGATTTGTTCAGATAGGATATTGACTTTTGGTTTAGGTAGGTGAAAAGACATGAGAACGGTAATTTCCAGTCGATCAATTAGGATAAACATTCAACTTGTTGAAAAATAGGCGGGCAACTGGAAATTACTGGTTCTCAAGTCTGTTAGAACAAAGCTAATATTTGCTTTATTTTTTAAGGTAAAAGAAGATGTTTAGGAGATGCTTTAGCTAAATCGTGTATATTTTTATTTTTTGTTGAAATATTGCGAAGATACCGAATAGAAAGTTCAGAAAAATTGACTGGGAAACAAGTGCCCGGCATTACAATGTCGCCAGAGAAATATAAAGCTAAATTTGTTGCTAGATTTTAATAAATAAATTGAGGTTTGATTTACATTAAATGTGTAATTTTATTGTACAATCTCAAATAATTGTGCTTACCATCCAGTTGAGTGGGGGGAGGTTCCATGGTCCAAGTGACTTACCTTGTCTCAGTCAAGTGTGTTTGATGCTGAAATTTTCCCTTTTTTTCAAAAATAATCAACTCATCAACTATTGTAATTTGCATGAAAATTTATACTATTTTATAATGTAGGTAAAGTTTGTTTCGCCAGGGTTTGTACTTGCCACCAGTATTTGCCTTCCTTGTTTAACAAATAAAAATTGACTGAAACAAATCAATGACGTCAAAAACAATTTGTTAAAAAAATTGAATGTGTCATATGAATTAATTTATGACAACCCTTTTTTTTTTCAAGTTTCAAGGTCAAGTATGAACCCTGGTGAAACGAACCTTACTTACCTATATGATCTTGGAAATGAAAACCCCTAGAAATATTTATTTATCAGCGTTTTATAAGAGGCATTTTAGCTTTGATAATTAAAATTTCTTACTTAAAAAATACAATTTTCCTTCAAATTAACTCTCAAATAAAGAAAGAAACTTCAATTCATAAATCCTGAAAGTTTCAAGTCACTGTGATTATTAGAAGTACTTTGCACAAGCTATACATGGAATTACTCAGATTCTGAGCAATATATCAACATGTGGTTTGAGATTTTCAGTAAAAAAAGTTTCATTTTATAATTATTTGAAATTTGAAGTTGCTCAGAAAAGCGAAAAATGTTTGACAGACTAGCAAAATTCAATTTGTCTTTAAATATTGATCTAATTTAGAAAAAGAGTTATAACTGAGATTCTGAGCAATATATTAACATGTGTTTTGAGATTTTCAATAAAGGAAGTTTCATTTTATAATTCTCTAAAATTTGAAGTTGCTCAGAAAAGCGAAAAATGTTTGACAGACTATCAAAATTCAATTTGTCTTTCAATGTTGATCTAATTTAGAAAAAGAGTTATAGCTTAGATTCTGAGCAATATATCAACATGCGGTTTGAGATTTTCAGTAAAGGAAGTTTCATTTTATAATTATTTGAAATTTGAAGTTGCTCAGAAAAGCGAAAAATGTTTGACAGACTAGCAAAATACAATTTGTCTTTAAATACTGATCTAATTTAAAAAAAGAGTCATAGCTGAGATTCTGAGCAATATATCAACATGTGTTTTGAGATTTTCAATAAAGGAAGTTTCATTTTATAATTCTCTAAAATTTGAAGTTGTTCAGAAAAGCGAAAAATGTTTGACAGACTAGCAAAATTCAATTTGTCTTTAAATATTGATCTAATTTAGAAAAAGAGTTATAGCTTAGATTCTGAGCAATATATCAACATGCGGTTTGAGATTTTCAGTAAAGGAAGTTTCATTTTATAATTATTTGAAATTTGAAGTTGCTCAGAAAAGCGAAAAATGTTTGACAGACTAGCAAAATTCAATTTGTCTTTAAATATTGATCTAATTTAGAAAAAGAGTTATAACTGAGATTCTGAGCAATATATCAACATGTGTTTTGAGATTTTCAATAAAGGAAGTTTCATTTTATAATTCTCTAAAATTTCAAGTTGCTCAGAAAAGCGAAAAATGTTTGACAGACTAGCAAAATTCAATTTGTCTTTAAATATTGATCTAATTTAGAAAAAGAGTTATAGCTTAGATTCTGAGCAATATATCAACATGTGGTTTGAGATTTTCAATAAAAAAAGTTTCATTTTATAATTATTTGAAATTTGAAGTTGCTCAGAAAAGCGAAAAATGTTTGACAAACTAGCAAAATACAATTTGTTCTTGAAAAATTATCTAATTTAGAAAAATAGTCATATAACTCAGATTCTGAGTAATATATCAACATGCGGTTTGAGATTTTCAGTAAAGGAAGTTTCATTTTATAATTATTTGAAATTTGAAGTTGCTCAGAAAAGCGGAAAATATTTGATAGACTATCAAAATTCAATTTGTCTTTAAATACTGATCTAATTTAAAAAAAGAGTCATAGCTGAGATTCTGAGCAATATATCAACATGTGTTTTGAGATTTTCAATAAAGGAAGTTTCATTTTATAATTCTCTAAAATTTGAAGTTGCTCAGAAAAGCGAAAAATGTTTGACAGATTATCAAAATTCAATTTGTCTTTAAATGTTGATCTAATTTAGAAAAAGAGTTATAGCTTAGATTCTGAGCAATATATCAACATGCGGTTTGAGATTTTCAGTAAAGGAAGTTTCATTTTATAATTATTTGAAATTTGAAGTTGCTCAGAAAAGCGAAAAATGTTTGACAAACTAGCAAAATTCAATTTGTCTTTGAAAAATTATCTAATTTAGAAAAAGAGTCATATAACTCAGATTCTGAGTAATATATCAACATGCGGTTTGAGATTTTCAGTAAAGGAAGTTTCATTTTATAATTATTTGAAATTTGAAGTTGCTCAGAAAAGCAAAAAATGTTTGACAAACTATCAAAATGCAATTTGTCTTTAAAAATTAATCTAACTCAGATTCTGAACAATATATCAACATGCGGTTTGAGATTTTCAATAAAGGAAGTTTCATTTTATAATTATTTAAAATTTGAAGTTACTCAGAAAAGCGAAAAATGAAAAATGTTTGGGTTAGTTGATAATTCTTTGAAATTTGAAATTGCTCAGAGAAACAGAAAAGGTCGAGAAAAATACCCATTCTTAAGAGAAGCCTCGAAAAACTTCCTCTTTTAAGAATAAATGTAACATCTTTTTTAAAAATTCAATAATTTCAATTATAGCCAACCTTCGAAAAATTTGAGGATAGTTTCAAAAATCAAAAAGTTGCATACCTACCTAGGAAAAACTTCCAAGATCGAAAATTGAGAATCTGAAACATAATTTCTTTTGCTCACCCTGTATAAGTGGATAAATGTAAGAAATATATACGGAGTGTCCCATGACATTTCTCCCAGGGTCCTTATTCTTGAAACAGGGGAGCAGCGTTCCCAGGAGAACGAGTGTTCCGTCTTTCTCGATGATATGCAACTGATAATATAAGTAACAAAGACGGAACACTCGTTCTCCCGGGAACGCTGCTCCCTTGTGTCAAGAATAAAGCTGCAGGTGATAACTTCGGAACGCGTCATCCAATATAATTGAAATTTTGAGGATCTGGCAAACTTTTTATGCCACTTCTACTATTATCCAATTTCACCACTTTCTCTTCAATTTCTGTCAAATGACATCAACTTTCGAATTTTAAATGTAACTCGATCATGTTACTCATGGTATATTATGGAATTTTTCGTTCGAAAATTGAATTACAAAATCATACAATGGAACATACGATGGTGCGTTCCGAAGTTATCATTTGGGAGGAATCTCGTGGGACACCCTGTATATATATGTACGTGTTCCCAAAGGATTGGCCAAGCACCTCTCAATAATACCGCAACTCGATATCTCTTTCCTTTCGGAAAATATCGAGATTTGAATTACGGTAAAGCTGTCCACTAGTTTATTAATGAAAATAATCATTATCATTTCCGTAATTCAATGACGTTCTCAGTTTCGTTGTATTTGGCCCCGATTTCGAGATACCTATTGACCAAAGTCCGATTTTTTTCATTAGAGATAATGGAGATTTGCATTATGTTTGGGCACCACAGATGACGTCATAAAAGTTAACAGGCAATCTACCTCTTGGTCTGTTTTTACAGAAATCACAAACCAGTCATAGCGTTTTTGATTGGTGCAAATCGCCAGTTTTCAACCAATTAAATTCGCTTTTTTCACTGGTTTGTGATTTCTGTGATAACAAACCTTGGGTGATGTTTTAGCTAAATTACTGGGAAACAATAAATAAAATAGAGTTGATGTATAAATCCAACACCATAATAACAAATATTTCTGCTTACCCTCCAGTTGAATGGGGGAGGTACCATGTTCCAAGTTACTTACCTATTTTGGGCATGTTTGATTCTGAAATTTTCAAAAAATACTCGTTAGTACTTGTCTCTAGGATAATATTTGAACAATAATCAACTCAAAATAATTATTTATAACAAGAAAAAATACCAAAAACAACCACTTACCCCTGGTCCTCCATGCCCAAAAACGCGTTTAAACTTGCCCTCTTATGTGTCACGCAAAAGTTCTTATTTCACGAAGTTGCCAGGTTAATTAACTAATTAAATTGATCACTAATCACCGAAAAAACTACTTATTAATAGGGGAAAATTGATTAAACTCCCCTAAACGTACTAAAAATTGAAAAACTACCTGTACATTTCAACCGGCAACCATTTCACTTAGCGTAAGGGGCAAAAGAGAAGGAGGCAGCAACTTACAATAGAAAAGTCAACAAAACCACCCTGGCGCCATCTATGATCCATTCATCATATTTATTAATAGAGTAGAGAAAACATTTTTTGTCTTTTTCTTTTATATGGTGATAGAAAAGGAGCACAAATTGACTAGACACCAATCAAATAGAGCGTGTGATATTTGAAATAGCCGCCACAAACAAAAATATATGGCGGCGCGAAAATAATATTTGAATTGAAATAATGAATAATTAAGCTAATAAACGGTGTTAATTATTTATTTTAATTTTAAGTGTAATCTATAGGTATTTTGTTGTAAAGAAAATCTTAATTAATTGATTAAAAAACTCCATAAAAGAGAAATTTTTAGGTATACAGTAAACTTCCAGCCCTTCAAAAACAACCCTAATGTGTACCTACATAAATGTTTAGCAAAGAAAACACTAATTTGATGTAATTTCCAAGTAGTTTTATTAAGTACCTTGGTCAAGGATTTTATTTTAACAAGAATCAACTCAAAAATACTTATTTATAATAAGAAAAAACAGTCACTTACCTACCCAATCTAGCTGGTTTTCAAAACTAAAAAACTCGTTTAAACTTATTTGGCAGACTAAAGTTCTTATTTTACAAAGTTGCCGAGTTGATTAATTAATTGCTTAGAAAGTTGTCCGTAGGACAGCGCTTTCCTGCTCTAAGATTAATTGTATTAGGCACTTATTACCGAAAAACTACCTATTAATAAGGGAAAATAAAGATGAAAACCACCTAACAAACGAACTAAAAATAGAAAAGCTACCTACCTTAAGCCCGGGACACATCTATCATGCATTCTTCCGATCCGACTCTGATCATACAATCCAGGTTCCTCATTCTTGGAAACAAGGAGCAGCGTTCCCGGAGAACGAGTGTTCCGCTGCTCCGCTGTTCCAAGAATAAGGACCTTGATTGTATAATCGGAAGAATGCATGATAGATGTGTCCCGGCCTTTATAAGGGTGATGCAAATAAAGGGGTTGGTAAAAGGTAAAAGTCAACGCAATCAACAGCTTTATTCCGGTTTGAAAATGGAACGGTTCTAGAACTGTTGAAAACAATCACACAGTTTAGCATAATCAACTCAGCTATGTGTTACAAATTTCCAATAATAAACTGTGCTATTGTTTCAAACCATTTTAGAACTGTCCTTTTTTCAAACCCGAACAAATCTAATGAGACGCCATATTAGATAGGTATAGGTACCTATCAACTGAAAACTCGTGTAAAGTAAAAACCATAGACGTAAAAACATAAATGGTTTAAGGCAAAATGAAAAACTTTATACATGAGAGGGTTTTTGAAAATAAATTCAATAAGATAAAGAATTTTCCATAGGATAAAAATTATTCATTATAGCAAAAGATATATAAATATAGGTCTGTTCCCACAGGAGTCTCTGACAATTTGCAACCTGTCAGAAAAAATCGCTCAGCTGAGTTACAGATTTGAAAACATGTATGGGCGATGCTTACTGACAGTTTGCAAACTGTCAGAGATTCCTGTGGGAACAGACCTTATAACAGTTTTAATTGGATCTTTCATCAGGGCCGGTTTCAGGACCCCCGTGCAGCCAGTGCCCCTGCACAGGGCGGCAAAAATTTCGTCTCTGATCAATTCCATACGATCTGAGCACAGTTTTAGGGACTGAATTAGTACGTAACTAGTAACTAGTTTTGCGCAGTTCCAGGATGGTTCGCAAAAAGTTCGAAAAACGAGAACTCGGAAACATTCTATCGCTAGCCTAGTTTCACGCGTCCACAGACGATTTGCAGGTTATGTTTTGGTGTTGTTTGAGAGTTTCACGATTCTTGACCACAGCATAATAGTTATTTAGGTACATTACAAGTGCGTTTATGAACATGATTACAATAACGAGTGTGAAAGATTAAAACGACGAGGTCGTAGACCGAGCCGTTCTAATCACACGAGTTTTGTAGTCATGTTAAAACGCACGTGTGATGTACAACATTTTATCTACAAAGCGAAAAATAAGAATGTTTTTTCAATTAATTTCGTGTATTATTAGTTGTTTACCTTCATTTTACCTTTACAGGTTTAAGTTTGACATTATTTGTCAAATCACCAAAAATAGTTGTGTTATAGATTCATAACCTCGTCCATAACACCACTAGTTGTGTTATGAATTCATAACCTAGTCTATAACACCACTAGTTGTGTTATGAGTCTCATAACATAACTCAATTACTAGAAAAATGGTTATGTAAAAACGTCATAACCAAACGCTTGTAGATAAAATACAAACACAATCAGCAGGCTAACTCAAGTGACAGCTCGTGTTATAAAGAAATTCATGGTCGGAACGTCACTAGCGGCCATTTTGGGATACATGACAGAACAATAATTCAGGATTTTTCTTTCCTGTCACAAAGTCGTATTGGTTTTAAATAAATTATGATGTACCTACTGTTACATGGCGTTTGAAAATAAACTAATTTATTATTTTTAAATAATAATATTTACATACTTTCCTACTAATTCATTATTTTTAACAAATATACAAGAAGGATAACACCATAAATGACAACACGAATACACTGTAAAATTACAGATAAAATTCTGCTCTACACCGCACGCCTATGACCTTTACAAGAACAAAACAAATAAAACAAAATTTACGCGCCCCTGCCGCTTGATAAGCAGTATCCCCTAATGGAGGCGTCAAGGGAGGATTTAGCTTTTATTTATGGGGGGGTACACAGTGCTATAATACGCCCAGTACCTCCTGTGGTCAGGTCTGAATTGGGAAATTTTTCCGGCCCGAATTCGAGTCCTTATATCGACCCACCCAGTGGAAGATTTTATAACATGTGCTATCCAGGGCCGTAGCTAGAGTCAAATCTGAAATAGGGCATGACAAATTTGACACAGGGCATACACTACTTGCCCCCCCCCCTCCGTTCCTCAAATTATAGGTAGACAATCTGGTGGTAATGGCGCCGAAGGCAAATTTTTCAATAAATAACATCTTTGGTAAGTGTAAACAAAATGGCGCTGATTCTCGCACCGCCTTGGACCATTCGCATCCAAGGATGATACACACTAATAGTGAAATCCATTGGTAAGTTCAGTGGGCACTGAGTGCATTCGTGTCCTCTTCTACTACATGATGTAAAAGAAAGTAACAAGAATACATGTTTTTTTGCACCAATTTCACCAATGGTTATTGCCATAACTATTACTACTATTACAATTACAGAATAGCTTATCGAATGTAATACCACAAGAGGCCGGAGGGCCAGAGTTATATGCGAGTCCGGCCCGAAGGGCCGGAGTTATATGCGAGTCCGGCCCGAAGGGCCGGAGTTATATGCGAGTCCGGCCCGAAGGGCCGGAGTTATATGCGAGTCCGGCCCGAAGGGCCGGAGTTATATGCGAGTCCGGCCCGAAGGGCCGGAGTTATATGCGAGTCCGGCCCGAAGGGCCGGAGTTATATGCGAGTCCGGCCCGAAGGGCCGGAGTTATATGCGAACCCGAAGGGCCGGAGTTATATGGGAGCCCGAAAGGAAAGTAAATTGACTTTGGAATGTCGGTTTTCTTAAGATCTTTACTTTTTTCAGAAAACGGTGGTTTTTGCAAACATATACTACTTTATTGTTGTCTTTGTCTTACTCATTATAATCAACAAGTAAACCTTGTAATGTCATTTTCATTGAAACTAAACTAAAACAAGTTTCCTATGATTTATTTTAATTATTTGATTTTTTTGTCAAAAAATGTCAAAACACCAGTTACCGTGCAAAAGGATTATCACTTATTAAGCCTCTCGTGTCATATGGGAAGGATTATCACTTATTAATCCTCTCGTGTCATATGGGAATAATGTACAGTAAGTTGTATAATCAACATAAAGCCTGTGTATATCAAATTATTTCCCTAGTATTATCACATATTACCAGGTATTGCCATGCTATTGACAGACTAAAATCAAATATTTGTCTTGCCAGAATTCTCGATATTGACATATCCACAGGTATTTACATGTTATTGATGGGTATCAATCAATGACATATATTACCTACATAATTAACAAGTAGGTATTGTATAGTATTGACACTATTGACATAGTTTTTACCTGATATTGACATATATATTAACCAGTGATTTGTACACCGATTAACAAGGTGAAAAACCCCTCGCTAATTCTCAAGCAACTTCAAGAAAAATCGGGAAGAAATCTTCAAAATCTATATCTGTGAAGAGCTGATGATGAAATTATTGTTAGGCAATCACTAGCTTTTCAAAAGAGAGTCAATTGATAAAAGTATATGGAGGAAAATTCTGGAAGTAGGTACCTACCTACTTTAATGGAGTGCCAGATAAATTAAAAACTCAAAAGTCGTAATGTTTGCAGGTTTTCAATAATTAGTTTCTGTATATAGGTATTTGTATCAATTTGGAAATAGCTATAAATTCAATGAGGTACCGCCACTAGAAATTTTAAAGGTCTTTCTTTGAAATTTCCCGCCATTTGAGTGTCTCAAAAAAATTAAAAACCCTAAAAAGTAGTAATTATTCCTAATTTTTGTTTGTAGTCTCTATAAGGCTGTTTATGCCAGCTGTAGATAAATGTTATAGCCACTACCACTAGTAACCCGAACTAATACAAACTTACCTAAACTTTGGTTCATTGCAAATATTTTTAGAAAATTTCGAGACTTGAAATGTCGCGTTTTTAATTTTCGGTTGGGTAAATGTGGCATTGAATTTCGAGCATTTGGCTATAGATGTTTTCAATAACTTCCTCTTAACAATTGAAATGATGGTTTGATTATTTCTTTTTGGTAATTGGTGTCCTCTGGGGAAGCCGTCCACCATAATAGGTTAGGATCCCATTTGTTGCACTAATATACTATATACGGTAAGTGTAGCACTACCGAATACCGGCGAGAAATGGTCAAATTGTAATTTGATGTTGAGTGTCAGCTGCAAAATGTGATTTCATGTGAATTCAGCCTAGTAGGGCTTTAATAGAATATAGCTGAATGCTCGAGAACTTTGCCAGGCAAAATTGTTTTCTATAGATGGAGAATCAAATGATCATGTTCTTATTTGAATAAAATTATTCCAGAAGAGAAACATTCCAAGTACCTATAATTTTTTCTTCTGTCGAGTTTATGTATGGTATCATCATCATTCTTCTGGGTTTACTATTGAAGATAAGCCCCTCAAGTTATTTCCAAATTCTATCTTTTCTAGACACTTAATGATTGAAGTTTTCGAAATGATGATCAATTGAACTAAATCAGTTTCCCAGAAGGTATATAACTAAACTACATGTAGTATAGAAGTAATAATAATAATTGTAATTGTTAAATATATACTAATATAATATAATATATAAACAGGTACAGATACAAATAATACTTTTACAAATTAATTCTACAATTCCCAATAACCATCAAACAATCTAATCAGTTGCATTTCCACTAGGACGAACTATAAGAGATCTCGACCGAGGCAACTCTTGTAGGCTTGACGTCTGAAACAAATCCATATCCAATAAATATTCCTAATAACAAAATAAAAAAACAAACAAAAATGAAATTACCAATTATTATATCGATGATGACTTGATGATGATGATTCACTACAGGGCAGTCGCGATTCTCACCCTGTAAGTCCTAACATACTTGCCCTTATTAAAAAAATAGATATTTACCTCCAGGTTGCGAGGAGTTCGGTATTCTGAGGCGTTGCGCGTAATTCCGTGTCGGAAAGGGTTGAATCTTTGCGAATTGCTCCTCAACGAGGCAAGCCTGATGACATCTGTGGGACTTTTCCGATTGAAAAAGAGTTGCTTAAAAGTGCTGCGGAAGTTTTTCGATATGATGCTGTACAGTAAAAAGTTGCAAGAGGCGTTGATTGTCAATAAGAAGTTGAAGATGTTGCCTAGGACTTGAAATAACTCATTATTTTGCTGTGAATAAATAAATAACTTACTGCTTTCAATGTTTTTTTGTCGCTGGGTTAAAGCTGGGTTGAAGTTGTAGTAAATCAAATATGAAGCTGTAGGGCTTTGGCATATTAAAAACATTACTACTACAGCTATTAGCATCAGTGTTATACGATTTTCGTTTGATGGTGTATCAGACTGTAATAAGGAAGAAATGTTGATTTAAATACTTAAACAATAGTGTGATAACCCAGTAAAAACATCAGCTACATACATTTTCAACAAAGTAAAACAGTAAGCGATTTAAGATCCAGTAATGATTCAAAATTTGGACTTTTCCAGGCTCTTGAATCGCTGGCAAATTTTTCTGAAGGCAACCAAGAACCGGGTATATTCCAAATTTTGAATCATTACCAGGTACTGAGCCTTTTTTCACGTTGATGCATGCAAAAATGATTGAAATCTGCAAAAACCACTTGTGCAAAGTACTTTTAATGATCACAGTGACTTGAAAACTTCCAAATTTGGATACCATTCCCGGCTCTTGTTTGCCTTTAGAAAAATTGAACAGCGATCAAGAGCCTGGAATAGTCCAAATTTTGAATCATTACTGGGATTCTTATTCATTATTTGGAATATCCCCGAAAAAAAGAAATTCAAGTGCCTGGAATAGTAAAAAATTTACATTACAATGTGTTTACTGGGAAAACACTATATTATAGCTACTTTACCTGTGAAGTTTGTGTATTAGTCCTAGTCATTATACGTCTCTTGCACCTCGAAACATACACCTGCCTAATCAAGAAGCAATTGAAAACTGCAATCAATATTAGAGGCACCATTCCAAATATTAAAGCAGTATACCAATACATTATAGTAGTGTACGTGTAATGTTTGCCCAAATTAGTAGATTCAACATCAATGTACAATTTTGTATTACAACATGATTTTGTTTGAGTCTCGTTATTGTGCACTATTGTCATATTGTTTGAATAATCAGAATAATCAGGAATACTCCTTGACTTAGCTGTATTATTTTGAGGATAAACATAAATTATATGAGGATGGTTATAAGTACAATTACTCAAAATGTTTTCAAGGGCTTTGCTTAAGTTTGGATTAAGGAAAACATTATTCTCAGCCTCAACATTTCTAGTATTTTTTGGTAAATAATGCCCCTCTTGATTAGTGGTATTTTCAAATTGACAATTGTTATCACAAACTACAGTGTCGTTTAATGTAAGTTGGTACTCAAATGATGTAGAAAGTGTTGTCAGGATGCATAATATGTAGACTATGACTGTGACTGTTTTGGCACGGTTTTCCGTGCAAAAGTATTTGCCTTTCATTGGATGGCACACTGCTATGTAGCGTTCTATTGTAAATGACACTGTTAGCCATACTGAGGTACTACCTATATATGAGAAATAATTCGTGTATAGTTTTTTTTAATAATGTTAATAATTACTTGCTGCATCACATAACCAATGAGTCAATCCATAAAATCTCCAATAAAGCTCATATTTCCTTTCGTGAATAACCTTGTCATGTTTAAATGACAATAGAAATACAAAAAATAAGTGGATTATGTCAGCTATGGCTAAAGCTGATAGATAGATGTTTGTTGAGGACCTCATTCTTCTCCTATAATAAAGTTGAATAAAATATGTTATATACCTATATAAGATGTTGTATTAGGTATATATTTACCTTGTTAATACCATAACAGTTATAATATTTCCGGTGATTCCCACACAAACCATAATTGGAACTAAAACTTTTTGGCACCAGAATCTTGAGCTTTCAAGCGTTATTGAAGTTGTATCGGTGATGTTATCCATTGTTTGATTATTTTATTCGCATTCCAGGAATCAGGACAAACGATAAATGGTCAAAAGTAATTTCCTTTTCGAGGGGGATATAGGATATCGACACTATATTGATTGGCCTAAAATACCTAAAACTGCGGAATTTTTTTAAAGTATATATATAAAGCAAAAACTTATATAGGTACTTACACTAAATTTTTGTTATTTAAAGCAAATCAATTATTAAATTGTCTTCATAGTATAGTTGAACTTCTTATGATCTAGAAATAAAATGTTTATATTTTCAAAACGGAAAACATGCAAATGGACTCGTAAAAACAGTGGCATAATTGAGTTTTCTAATTTGGGCTATTTTTAAAATGCGGTACACATGTCTGTGACGAGGCGTTTAAGAATACAACTATTTATTTGTTTTTGAAAAATCACAATTTTCTTTATTTTTGGCTCTTTTTTTTTATAAAATTTTAGTATTTTGAAGCTTATTATGTAGAAAAATGCCTGATGGGCCTTTTACAAACCCAGAATTACAAGGGAAAATGGAAAATGCAAGAGATGTTTTATTATTTACTAGGTGTATTAGATAGAAACTTAAAATGTTCAGCAATTCTTATTCCACTAGAGGACTACAATCCCTGAAAATTTCAACTCATTTGCACTTATAGTTCCTGAGATAAAATCGTGTTAAGCAATTTGGGGTGATTTATCAGTTTTTCAATTTTTCTGAGTGCCTTTTTTCATAGATTTCAGCTTCAAATTTGGGAATAACTTAGTGTATGGAGATCGAGGGATCACAAGTGACCATTAGGACACAAAATCTCCACAAAAAAAAAATTGAAATTTCATTGTTTTAGTAGGAAGGTACTTACCTTATGATTTAGATTTTGGAAAACTTTGACAGGTCATAACTTTTTTTCTAATAAAGATAGAAAGCTGAAATTTTCAGCGATTCTTATTTTAGTAGAGGACTAATATCCCTGAAAATTTCAACTCATTTGCACCTTTAGTTCCTGAGATAAAATTGGGTTAAGCAATTTGGGGTGATTTATCAATTTTCCAATTTTTCTGAGTGCCTTTTTTCATAGATTTCGGCTTCAAATCTGGGAATAACTTAGTGTATGGAGATCGAGGGATCACAAGTGACTATTAGGACACAAAATCTCCACAAAAAAAAATTTGAAATTTCATTGTTTTAGTAGGAAGGTACCTACCTTATGATTTAGATTTTGAAAAACTTTGACAGGTCATAACTTTTTTTCTAATAAAGATAGAAAGCTGAAATTTTCAGCGATTCTTATTCCAGTAGAGGACTAATATCCCTGAAAATTTCAACTCATTTGCACCTATAGTTCCTGAGATAAAATTGTGTTAAGCAATTTGGGGTGATTTATCAATTTTTCAATTTTTCTGAGTGCCTTTTTTCATAGATTTCGGCTTCAAATCTGGGAATAACTTAGTGTATGGAGATCGAGGGATCACAAGTGACTATTAGGACACAAAATCTCCACAAAAAAAAATTTGAAATTTCATTGTTTTAGTAGGAAGGTACCTACCTTATGATTTAGATTTTGAAAAACTTTGACAGGTCATAACTTTTTTTCTAATAAAGATAGAAAGCTGAAATTTTCAGCGATTCTTATTCCAGTAGAGGACTAATATCCCTGAAAATTTCAACTCATTTGCACCTATAGTTCCTGAGATAAAATTGTGTTAAGCAATTTGGGGTGATTTATCAATTTTTCAATTTTTCTGAGTGCCTTTTTTCATAGATTTCGGCTTCAAATCTGGGAATAACTTAGTGTATGGAGATCGAGGGATCACAAGTGACTATTAGGACACAAAATCTCCACAAAAAAAAATTTGAAATTTCATTGTTTTAGTAGGAAGGTACCTACCTTATGATTTAGATTTTGAAAAACTTTGACAGGTCATAACTTTTTTTCTAATAAAGATAGAAAGCTGAAATTTTCAGCGATTCTTATTCCAGTAGAGGACTAATATCCCTGAAAATTTCAACTCATTTGCACCTATAGTTCCTGAGATAAAATTGTGTTAAGCAATTTGGGGTGATTTATCAATTTTTCAATTTTTCTGAGTGCCTTTTTTCATAGATTTCGGCTTCAAATCTGGGAATAACTTAGTGTATGGAGATCGAGGGATCACAAGTGACTATTAGGACACAAAATCTCCACAAAAAAAAATTTGAAATTTCATTGTTTTAGTAGGAAGGTACCTACCTACCTTATGATTTAGATTTTGAAAAACTTTGACAGGTCATAACTTTTTTTCTAATAAAGATAGAAAGCTGAAATTTTCAGCGATTCTTATTCCAGTAGAGGACTAATATCCCTGAAAATTTCAACTCATTTGCACCTATAGTTCCTGAGATAAAATTGTGTTAAGCAATTTGGGGTGATTTATCAATTTTTCAATTTTTCTGAGTGCCTTTTTTCATAGATTTCGGCTTCAAATCTGGGAATAACTTAGTGTATGGAGATCGAGGGATCACAAGGGACTATTAGGACACAAAATCTCCACAAAAAAAAATTTGAAATTTCATTGTTTTAGTAGGAAGGTACCTACCTTATGATTTAGATTTTGAAAAACTTTGACAGGTCATAACTTTTTTTCTAATAAAGATAGAAAGCTGAAATTTTCAGCGATTCTTATTCCAGTAGAGGACTAATATCCCTGAAAATTTCAACTCATTTGCACCTATAGTTCCTGAGATAAAATTGTGTTAAGCAATTTGGGGTGATTTATCAATTTTTCAATTTTTCTGAGTGCCTTTTTTCATAGATTTCGGCTTCAAATCTGGGAATAACTTAGTGTATGGAGATCGAGGGATCACAAGGGACCATTAGGACACAAAATCTCCACAAAAAAAAATTTGAAATTTCATTGTTTTAGTAGGAAGGTACCTACCTTATGATTTAGATTTTGAAAAACTTTGACAGGTCATAACTTTTTTTCTAATAAAGATAGAAAGCTGAAATTTTCAGCGATTCTTATTCCAGTAGAGGACTAATATCCCTGAAAATTTCAACTCATTTGCACCTATAGTTCCTGAGATAAAATTGTGTTAAGCAATTTGGGGTGATTTATCAATTTTTCAATTTTTCTGAGTGCCTTTTTTCATAGATTTCGGCTTCAAATCTGGGAATAACTTAGTGTATGGAGATCGAGGGATCACAAGGGACCATTAGGACACAAAATCTCCACAAAAAAAAATTTGAAATTTCATTGTTTTAGTAGGAAGGTACCTACCTTATGATTTAGATTTTGAAAAACTTTGACAGGTCATAACTTTTTTTCTAATAAAGATAGAAAGCTGAAATTTTCAGCGATTCTTATTCCAGTAGAGGACTAATATCCCTGAAAATTTCAACTCATTTGCACCTATAGTTCCTGAGATAAAATTGGGTTAAGCAATTTGGGGTGATTTATCAATTTTCCAATTTTTCTGAGTGCCTTTTTTCATAGATTTCGGCTTCAAATCTGGGAATAACTTAGTGTATGGAGATCGACGGATCACAAGTGACCATTAGGACACAAAATCTCTACAGAAAAAAATTTGAAATTTCATTGTTTTAGTAGGAAGGTACCTACCTTATGATTTAGATTTTGGAAAACTTTGACAGGTCATAACTTTTTTTCTAATAAAGATAGAAAGCTGAAATTTTCAACGATTCTTATTTTAGTAGAGGACTAATATCTCTGAAAATTTCAACTCATTTGCACCTTCAGTTCCTGAGATAAAATTGGGTTAGGCAATTTGGGGTGATTTATCAATTTTCCAATTTTTCTGAGTGCCTTTTTTCATAGATTTCGGCGAGGGGGATTTCATTGTGGAAATTTAGTGTACACAATCGTGGTAATTAGTGGAAATTTCACGGGAAATGAGTGGTAATGACTGGAAATTAGTGGTAATGACTGGTATTTAGTGGAAATTAGTGGAAATATAGTGGTAATTTGGGGTAATTTTTGGTAATTTGAGGCAATTTAAGGCAATTTTGGGGGTAATTAAAGGAAATTTTGTGGTAATACCTCAAAGTTCTGTAGTGATAAAATTATGATATGCCTTCGAATTTGCTTTAATTTAGAACTAACAGAGCTTTAACTGTAAATTATTCAACTAAGATTTAAGTAAAATATTCTTCTGAGTCCCTATTAGTCAGTTAGAAACATCAACTTTCATTTTCTAAAGAATGTTCCATTTGAGGTTTCATTATATGAGAAGTGGCAACCTTGCAATTGTTCAACACTTGGTTTGACATCATCTATGAATGTCATTTTTACTGCTCATTTTAAAACTTTCAAGTCCTCGTCTCATTTAAGGCCCAGTTTTGTGTTTTAGTGTTAGTCTAGAAGAAAATGTAAATGTGATAGATAGAGTACATTCTTGTTATATTATTATAATACCTTAAGTCTCTATCACACATTCGGCAAATAGCTACAAATATTAGGTGTTTATGTGTTTCCGTCTCTCTTTTTCTCAAGTTTCAATTTTCAAGATTTTCACCTATCCTAGATGGATGCCAAATACCGAGCTAAATACGCAAATATGTGTGAGGAACTGCTGGCGTGTGAAATTTCGTATTTTTCCATATTTTCGTATTCTAGATAGAATCCGAAATAGTGTCGGAATAAACCTAGCAATCCCTTAGTTTTTTTTTCATTTTCTCAAAAACTAGAAGAGCATGTTCTGATGGTGAACTTGGTTTGTTCCTCTAACATGAATCAAATGATTTTTATCCAGTTTGTAGAAGATGGAACCTAAGTTTTGCAGAATTTTGGAATCCTTTTTTTTTCGAGACATGATGGAATGCCTCCTTGAGTGTTTCTCTTTTCCAACTTTCATTATCTTAATTTGCTCTTCCTTCAACATCTCGATTTGTTCGTTTATCATCAATCAAATAATTTTTATTCAGTTTCTAGAAGATGAAACTTCAGTTTTTGCAGGACTTTGGAATCCTTTTTTTTCGAGACATGTTGGAATACCTCCCTGAGTGTCTGCCTTTTTCAACTTTCAACATATTGATTTGCTCTTTTTTTAACATTTCGATTTGTTCCTTCAACATCAAACAAATGATTTTTATCCAGTTTCTAGAAGCTAGAACTTTAGTTTTTGCTTTGCAGGATTTTGGAATCCTTTTTTCTTCGAGACATGATGGAATGCCTCCTTGAGTGTCTCTCTTTTTCAACTTACAACATCTTGATTTGCTCTTCTTTAAACATCTCAATTTGTTCCTTCAACATCAAT